TGTAAATCTAAGCACCAGGAGAAATGTAAATTTTGTGTTTAACCTGTTTTTAATAACATTTTTCTAGGGCTTGAATATTTTTAAATACCTAAACATGGGGGATCATATGTTATTTTTAGAATTTTTTTCATAAATACAGTTTAATAAATTATTGTAAAGCAAATATCCATGAAATTGCCACCCATAAAAGAAACAGAACATAGCATCATTCTTACAATGAACAGTTTAGTTTTGCTTTTTATTGTCTCAAAAATTAACAATCTTTTGAAACTGGAATAAAGATATATACCAATAACAAATCAGTGTTAATTGCACTTATGAAAAAATAGCCTTTGTCTTTTGATAAACCGAATCTAGGACTAAAATCTAACATTTTACATTGCAACAAATTTACTGGATAAACTATTCCATTTGCCTCATTGTTTTCTGTCTCCATGCCTATTTTGCTATGCAAAAGCTTTATGTCAATTTACTTTTTGAGCCGTTTAAGACCAAACCAAATTATTCCTTCAATACATTGTAAGCAATCCCTTAAAGACCTCTTTTTTCTTGGCTATGTTTCCAATCTTGGGCTTATCACTATAATATTTCATGCTCTATGCTTCTGAAAAAATTCAATATTCAAGAACAAAGTAATCCAGAGCTTTACTTCATTTCAGTGTTTTTATGTCCTAGGGCTGTCCCAACTCAATGACCCAGTTTTCATTGTGTCACATCACACTGTTTGTTGCTGACTGTGACCAGCTTGCTTAATCCTTTTCCTGTTCCTTATCAGTTTTCCCTTAATTCAAATTTTTTTTTTATTATTATTCTTTGCACTTCTCCTTTCACAGCTTTAGGATTTTTTTTTTTCCTCCTCAGGAAACTTGGTACTCCTGCAGTAGCTACTTAGAAATACAAAGATGAAAGGCCCATAAGTTTGACCTTGTCAAAACGTTCATTGTACCCTCTTCACAATTTTGGGTGAATGGAAGAAAGTGGATATTGTAATTCAGCAATATACAACAAGAGTCCTTGAAAATGTTGATATCCTATTATCCAGCAATTTCACTTCTGAGAATAATTAAAAAGAATTGTCTAATATATGGGAAAAGCTAGATGTATGAGAAGTTCATTACAACATTATATATAAAAACAAAAGAAAACAATACAAATATCTAACAATAGAAGTTAAATTGTGTACTTGATGGAATATTGTGCAGTCATTTAAGGTAATGGTTATGTGACTATATACAAATGGGTAAATGTGAAATTTTCAGAAAAATGAGGCACAAAATTTTAAATGCCTTTGACTACAACCATGTTTTTTTAAAAAGCATTTATTTACAAAGAGAAAACTGCAAGGAAATGTGACATTTGCTAATAGTTGTTATTTTGGCTGGTTGAATTGTCAATTATTTTTCTTTCCTTTATTCTCAAAATCTTGGAGTCAATTTTCTTTACAATTAAAAAAATTTTTTAAAAAGATTTATTTATTTATTTATTTATACAAGCACTGGGTACAGTCAGAAACACGGGAGGGTGAGAGAATTCACCAGAGCCAGAGCGGAGTGGAGAGCAGGCAGAAGGACCGAAGTACACTGCTGAGGGGAGCAGCAGGCGGCAGGAGAGGTCTGCGCGCCATGTGGGACCCTCGCCCAGTGGCCCGGGATCGAACTGGCGCTGCAGAGGCTGCGGGCAGCTTTGCAACCCAGCGCTCAACCGCTGCGCCACCAGGGAGGCCCTACAATTTAAATTTTTAAAATCCATAATCTTAACCGATGCAAATAAAAAACCATTGAGGTAAGCTGTGTCAAATAAAATTTTTGAAAGACTATTTCAAACAGAGCTTGATTTAAGTCTAATCTAACAAGGAGTAGAGGAACAATAAAACAGTGAATATGTCATTTTGCTTATCATTGTGTGTAATTCCTGAAAGGATAAATTAGGAAAAACCTCTCAATAACTATTTTAGAATATAAAATAAAATTACTTTTAAGGACTTTAATAGGTCTATTCAGGTTTATTTTACTGTAACTGACTTTAGCCAGCTTTTCTCTCCAAAGTTACTTCGTCAAGTTCTGAAACACTCTGTTAACCTCAAGTAAAAACAATCAGCTATTCCAACAACAAAACTGGTTTATTTGGAAACATCCAACAGAAAAGAGCCAGACTGAAAGTACATGTCTCTTGGGGAGATCATGTGCAAACCCCGAACCAAATCTCAAGTGTTACTTTGTTTGGAAACACTTCTAGATTCCTATAGTGCCCCATCACACTGCGCTATCATTGTTCCACCTTTCCCTCTAGACAGTAAACTGGTTATTGTGTGCACAGGCAAGTACAAGTGTGTGTATCCACATCCCCTTATATCAGTGCTGGAAGACCTTCTTCCTGTCTCTGGAGTGGAGAAGCAACATCCCTGTGATAGGAGCCATGCTGGGGCTTGAAGTATGTTGACTGGGCTTACTTGGGCACTGTCTTCTAGCCTCCTGGGTTTTTGTATATTGATTCACACCATTCACTCCATTTCCCACACTGTCTTTAGAGAGATATTTCTGACAAAACTGTTTGTGATACTCTATTGCTTGTTGAGGGGGCCCAGAATATGAGCATCTTCAGGTCAGTTTACTAGATCCTCCCAAGCTTCTTTACCTCATTCTATGTCCTTCATATGCACCCTTCCCACCAGCTTTGTTTATTTGTAATACCTGAAATAGTGCTCACAGTCACTATTACTGTTGTCAATACTGAACTTAACACTTAATACCTACTCATTCCAAATCTCAAGTGTTACTTTGTTTGGAAACACTTCCAGATTCCTTATCTCATTTACATGTCCCTTCTCTTTGATCCTATAGTGCCCCATCACACTGCGCTATCATTGTTCCACCTTTCCCTCTAGACAGTAAACTGGTTATTGTGTGCACAGGCGAGTACAAGTGAGTGTATGCTTAACTGCACACCCTCCCCCCCCAACACCCTCCACCACCACCTCATTATACCCCTATGCTTAGATAATGAGAAGAATAGTGAATGTTACATGATATTGATGAAAGGCCAGTGTTCTAATCCTGGACACTAAGTACTGGAACACAGGAGATTTTCTGGAAGCTAAGGACTGTTTCCAGGTAGAAATCATTCAATACACCTCTCTGATGAAGTTCGACTTTTGTACTGTCCTAAGGTTGTCTTGCACATCCCACAATGTACTCCTGAGAACCAGAAGCATGTCTTACTTGTCTATGAACCCTCCACTACTCTTCAAACATGTGGATTAAAATCTGATTTTAAAAATCAGTCTGGTTTATAGAAATTTACAGCCACCTTTTCTGTGATGGAGATAAGCTTCCAGAAGAAAAAAATCTGTGAAATCCAAAATTATCTGTGAAGCTCAATATCTTAACTGAATTTTTTCACAACAGTGTGAAAACCCCTAGAAAGAAGGCTGTCATAGGAATTAAGGATTGACAGACATATTCACATAAAATAAAGACTGCCTAAACGCCAAACGTGCTTGACATGTGATTATCTTCCCTACCTCAATTTTCATGTAGGGACCTAGGTATACTCTGATAGAAAATATTGGTTCAACCTAACACAAAATTTGTTTAGATGAAAAACAAATAAATGACTTGGTCATGTTCTCAACAGACTTTCTTAATTCTTTTTCTCCATCCTTATTATATCTGCATTTTAAGCAATATATTACAGCAAGAAAATTTTTTTGGAAAGATTTAATAAATCAAATTCATTTTCCTAAAATTTTTATAGTCTTAATTTTTTTTTTTTTTAAAGATTTATTTTTATTTATTTATTTATTTATTTATTTATTTATTTATTTATTTATACAAGCACTGGGTACAGTCAGAAGTGTGGGAGGGTGAGAGAATTCACCAGAGCCAGAGTGGGGAGCAGAGCAGGCAGACTGATGAAGTACACTGCTGAGGGGAGCAGCGGGGCGGCAGGAGAGGTCTGCGCGCCATGTGGGACCCTCCTCTGGTGGCTGGGGAGCAGCCGGGGGTCGAACCGGCTCTGCAGAGGCTGCGGGCAGCTTCGCAACCCAGCGCTCAACCGCTGCGCCACCGGGGAGGCCCCTAGTCTTAATTTTTTTTAACGTTAGTGCCTCTGATACATTTAAACTTTAATTTAGGGTTAAGAGATTAAAAGCTAAAATTCTAACGTTTAAATATATCAGAGCCACTTCTATTTCAAACTCTGGAAACAGTTGCTAAATAGGAAATTCTTTTTTGATCACTCCCTTAATTCATCTGTTGTTTATATTTAGTTTTTTTTTTAAATTCTTATAGAATCACCTATTCCTATCTTGAAAAAATAATATCCGAATGGAATTCTATTTTGAATGTCAAATTATTGGAGTATACGCAGGCACTACTTTGGTTTAGGGGAAAGAGTAATCAGTCAGTGCATGGGGGAGAAATCATTGATGGGACATTATATATAATAATAAGCAGAAATAATAAAATTAGTATAAACAGTTTGGGCAGGTGTAATTAAGAGTGGGAAGTTCAGACGTTTTATTATAAGGATGAGTAAGGCAAAACAGGGCAATCCTTAAATGAACATAGGGCATAAAAAGAAAATTGGAATCATTTTAAAGGTAGCTGCAACTATCTCTCATTTATGTTACTTATAAAGGCACGTTTCACTCAGCGAACATCCTCATTTGAGATTGTGTTTGTATTCCCTTTGGCCATCTTAACTCTCACTATTGTTAATAGACACCCTGGTTTTCAAGTCAAACTTCATGTGAATTCCCTGCTATAAAGCAGTTCTTCAGTGAATAGTGATGTAATGAGATAAGGGTCAATGTGCCTAAAATAAATAATAACTAAATGAAAAAAAAAAAAAAGGGTCAATGTGCCTAGTGCAGTGCCACTATGTAAAGGTCCTAAATATATATATTTTTTGCTCCTTCCTCTCCTAGCAACTCTGTAATAAAACAAAAAAAAAAAATCCACTGCCCAAAAGAACTGCAAATGACAGGAATGATTTGTTGCTGAAAATTTAACATAAATACTTTATTTATTGTAAAGACATTTTGCACAACACCACCATAAATACTGAACATCATTTTATAAAAGGTAACAAATTCATGATAAAAATATTTCCTAAGTACCACAATTTACTAGTTTTCTTCTTCTACTCAGTATAACAGCTAGCACTAGAGCTAGAATTTAACCCTAGCAGATATGAAAATTTGGTTTATAAATATAGTCTAATACACAAGAATATTGACAAGCATTTCTAGGTGCCCTAAGAAACATGGTCAAATTTACAACCAAGATATGGACAGCCAATAAGTTTAAAAGAAATATATATATTCCTAGTTACAGGTGCTACTGTCTAGTTAAAGGTGTTAACTAGAAATATTACATTAAAGTAGCTAAACTGTGATCACTGTCACAGATTTCTACATACCTGAAAAAGTTGACAACAACAAAAATAAGACATTTGGCATCAGGTGGACAACATCTAGATTTTAGGGCTACTTTCAAGTACAAACAGTCTTTTATCATTGCCCCCAAATTTGGAATTTCAGAGCTAGAAAGTATATAATTCAAAACACTTGCACTGTCCCTTTTCTTATGCAAGCGCTCTGATGTTTTCCTAACTCTTGTAGTCATCTTCTAAACACATTCTTCTAAATTTTCCACTGAAAAGCGCTGGGTCAAAGCTCTTCTATACAGGATCTCATTCTTCTAGTATCTCTTCTGTTTGCAGAGAGCCGGTCAAAATCTTGAAGGTGGAAACGAGTTGCCAACTGATTTACCATTTTTCTCAAGGTAAGAAATGCTGAAACAACTTGGAAAGTAAGGAACATGGTGAAGATAATATGCACTGCTTTTTCCAAGGGCAGATTTGTTAGGCCCTCATTAAAGAGCAAGAAAAGAATTAAAGGCAATTGCAAAAGAAGGCTCAAAAGCCAAAAGCCAGCCAACTCAGGAACCTGCAATGACACAGTTAAGAATAGTAAGATCACTATATAGATGAAATATAGTGAAATAGTGCAATGTGAACATATGTACTATATTTAATGATGCATAAAATAATTTGCAAAAATTTTAGAATATTTGTACAAAGTTTAAATACAACTTAAGCTCAATATTACATTGGGAATGCATGGATATATGGTTAAGTGCATAACACATAAAGGGACATCATAACAAATACGAAAATCAATATTGTAGTTATCTTTTGTGTCAGAAGAAATAAATGAAGTACAACACATAGATAAGTAGCAAGCTTTTCCTAATATAATTCTTAAGCTAAGAGGTGGTTTCATAACTGCTGGATCCTCATTTTGTTTTTATCATTATGATTGATGGTATACATGCATATTTTACATAAATGTAAGTATTTTAAAATGTGCAGTTAATTTATAATGTATAAGGTTTTTTTAAAAAAAAGAATAGTAAGATCAGTAAAGTACAGCCTTTTGCTTATACAGATAAGTAAGTACTTAGCACTGCTATGAACCTGCATCATGGACCTTGGGAGTAACTGAAAAATAGTACAGTCCTTGTTCTCAGAGGACTTAAACTCTACGTAAGAAGAACAAACTGACTTACATGACAATCGTAGAATACTATAACTTAGTGGAAAATTAAGCACAACACTTAGAGGTATATACCGAATGGTACAAGAATTAAGAGAGTGATTAGGGTGGTAAAAAAAGAATTCAATTCTATTCAGCCATAAAAATGGAAATCCTGTTATTTGTGGCAACATAGATGGGTCTTCAAGGTATTCCTCACTTACATGTGGAATCATAAAAACCAAATTCATAGAAACAGTGGTCATGTTATTGGTTACTAGAGGTGGGATTACGAGAATTGTTGATGATGGTTAAAAGACAACAAAATGCCAGTCAGAAGATAAATAAATTATGGGTATCACAAATTATTGATCACTATAGTTAACAATACTGATAGGTGTATCTGAAAGCTGCTAAATGAGTAGATATTGAAAGATCTCATCACATGGGAAAAATATCTTTGTAACTATGTGAAGTGAATAAACTTACTGTGGCAATCATTTTGCTGTGCATGTATATATCTCAATTCATTTTTTGGTATAGCTTAAATGTACACAACGTTATATGTGAATTATGTCTCAAAACTGGAGGAAAAAAAAGGGGTTGGGATTCTAAATTCTCCCAATTTAAGGTTGGGAGAAGGAGGACAAGGAAAAAAGGTTAGTAAGCAAAGATGTAGGATGAATCGGACTGGGAATCATTATTTGAGCCTAAGATGCTGGGCAGAAACAGCAAGCAATATGGTGAGGCAGGCTGGGTGGGGCCTAATTATGAAGGGCCTAGAAAACCATAAAATCTTTAGGCTCTATCCCTAAGCTCTGGTAATGGTAAATACTTATGCATCAAGATGATTCAGAAAATATGTGACTGGCATAGGAAATGAGTTATAATTTCCCCCCATTTTCTTATTCAGATTCCAAATAAGCATGTATAATTGACCAAGTATTTTCAAAACTGATGAGATGAGGGAAAATTATCAATTCTTTGGTGTTTACTGTGTTCAAGTATTTTACAGAAATTATTTCATTTAATCCCAACAAACCCGTGAAATGAATATGTCCCCCATTTTATACATGAAGAAACTGTGCCTCAAGAGATTAAGCTAACCACAGTAACAGCAGTGTGAAAGTTGAAGCCAGGCCTTAACTGTAGGCCTTTGCTTTCTAGCATATCTCACTCCCTTTTCCTTGCTATGAAAATCTTAATGCCTTTATGTATGTAGTGCTAAGAGAAAGGAAAGAAGAGCCTACCTTCTCCTGTAGGTTACCCATGTAGCCCAGATATAACCGGATAGCTTCAATTAGGGTTATCAGGATGATAACAGTGACCACAATAAATTTGTAGTAATCAGGCAAGATTGAATACTAAAAAATAAAAATTAAAAATGTTTGTAAAATTTTACATATAATAAAACTTAGACAGAAAAAAATATTAAGAACTTTAATTTTATTAACAGTATTCCAATGCCAGGGGTGGTCAGAAGAGATCTCAGCAGAAGTACTGGAGCATAGACTGACCTTCATCTGAAGCATCATAACACTGCTTATCCACCAAAGTGGGAAAAAGTAAGTGTTAAAATAAAGTGACATCTGCAGTTCCAAACTGGAGACCATTTCATTATCTACAGAAGAAATAAAAGGAACAAACTATTAATCCTGGTCTATGCCCTAGAAGTTCTTTAGTTCCCTAGAATTAGTAACTATAGTATAGACTCAACAAAACTCCAAGTTTTAAGCCTATTTATAATCCAAGAGGGAATGCTTCCTAAACATTTTATGATATCAACATTACCTTAATACCAAAACTAGACAAAGACAGCACAAGAAAAGAAACCTACAGACCAATATTCCTTCTGAATATTCATATGAAAATTCTCAATACAATTCCAGCAAATTGAATTGAATAATACATTATAAGGATTAGACACCACAATCTAGTGGGATTTATCCTAGGGATGCAAGGATGGTTTAACATATGTAGTTCATCAATGTGATGCCATTATATCAACAAAAGAAAAGATAAACATCATGTTACTATTAACAGATGCAGAGAACACATTTGATAAGATTCAGTACTTATTTAAGAAAAAAAGTAAACAAGATGAGAATAGAAGGAACCTACTAATAAAAGCTATGTATCCACATCTACAGCCAACATAAACTTAATGGTGAAAAACTGGAAGCTTTCCCTTTAAGATTCGGAGTAAGACAAGAATGCTTATTGGCATAACTTCACTTTAATTTAGTATTAGAGGTGTAAGCTAGAGTAACCAGGCAACATTAGGAAATAAAAGAAGTTTTTCCAGGTTGGAAAAGAAGAAGTAAAACTCATTATTTGCAGATGATATGGTACTATTTATAGAAACCCTAAAAACTCCAGGGGAAAGCTAATAGAAACAATACATGAGTCCAGCAAAGTGTCAGGTTACAAAATCAACACACACAAAAATCGGTTGCATTTTTATATGAAAACTATGAATGAGAAGAAAAATCAAAATAATTTCATTCACAATTACATCAAAAAGAATCAAACACCTAGCTATTAACCAAGGCAGTGAAGTCAATGAAAACTACAAGACATTATTTTTTTTACAAGATATTATTAATGGATATAAATCACAAGGAGATAAGGAGATAAATGGATAGTCCATGCTCATGGATGGGGGGAAAATCAATATAGTCAAAATGACTTCCATCCAAAATGATATATAAATTTAACATAACCGCCATTAAAAAACCAACATATTCTGCAATGAAATTGAAAAACAATATTAAAAATTTGTATAGAACCATAAAAGTTCTCAAATAGCTAAAGAATTCCTAAGAAAAATAGAGGCTAGTATATTATAAAGTAGTTGACTTTATACTATGCCATAAAGCAAAAGTAATTAAAACAGTATGTTATTGGCATAAAAACAGACACATGGACCAAAAGAGCAGAATCAAAAGCCCTGAAACATCCCATGTATATATAAGTACTTAATTTGCAAAAAAAAATGGACACAGCCATTCAATGAGGAGAGTCTTTTTAATAAATGGTGCTGGGAAAACTGAACAGTACGTGTAAAAGAATGAAGCTGGATCACTCTCTAACTGCAGGCACAAAAATGAATTCTAAATAGGTTAAAGGGGCCCAGTGCGAGGGGTTAAGATGCAACCTATAAGCTATCCGCAGCCACTGCAGCAGGAGTTTGATCCCTAGCCCGCGAGGGAGTAACCCACATGGCACAGCAGACCTCTCCTGACTCGCCCACCTGCTACCCTTAGCAATGTATTTCAGTCAGTCTGCCTGTCTGTTCCCCACTCTGTCTCTGGTGAATCCTCTCACCCTCTACACCTCTGGCCTGTACCCCAGTTCTTGTATGCATAAATAAATAAATCTTTAAAAATAAATAAATAAATAGGTTAAAGACTTAGATATGCAACCTGCAACAATAAAATATATCTAAAAAATTCAGTGAATCATATCAGGATATTAATCATATCAGGATGTTTTTGAAGACTTGACCCCTATGGCAAGGGAAATAAAAGCAAAAACAATTGGAATTACCTCAAATTAGAAACCTTTTGCTCAAAGAAAGAAAATATAAGTAGATTACAAAGACATCCTACTGAATCAGAGAAAATAGTCACACACTGCACAGCCAACAAGGAGTTAACATTCAAGATTTATAAAAAACTTATTCAGCTTAGCAACAAAACACCTAAACAACCCAATTAATAAATGGATACATCTTAACAAGTCACCAAAGGAAGATATTCAGAAGACCAACAGAGATATGGAAAAATGTTCCTTATTGCTTTTAATAAGGGAGATGGAAGTTAAAACCACAGTGAGCTATCATCTCATACTTGCCAGAATGTCATGGATTAAAAAAGCAACAACAAATGCTGGAGAGGATGTGGAGAAAGAACCCTATTAACTCTGTTGGTGGGAATGCAAACTGGTGCAGCCATTGTGGAAAGCAAAAAATACTGAAAATGAAAATACCATATGATCTAGCAATCCCACTTGTGGGCATCCAACCGAAGAACATGAAATTATCAACTCAAAATCACATGCTCTAAGTGTGTTTCGGTACATCTACTGGTCTGCTCTCCACTCTTTCTGGTGAATCTTCTCACCTCCAGTGACTCTGGCCTCTACCCCACTTCTTAAAAACAAATTAGATGCTCTACATTGTTTATTGTAGCATTATGTACAACAGTTAGGCAATGGAAACAACCTAAGTGCCCATTACTAGAGTACTGGATCAAGAAGATGTGGCATATTATTTAGTGATAGGAAGGATGAAATGTTGACAGTTATAGCAAAATGGAAAGATTCTGAGGAAATTATGTGTAGTAAAGCAAGTCAGAATGACAGACAAATATTGGTCATTTATGTAATGGAAAAGACAACAAAGCAAAAGACTTATAAAAATTAGTGAACACAAATAAAGTGAGGTTTCTAAGGTAAAGAGGGAGAGGGGAGAGAGAACAGAGGCAAAGGAGGCATAAGGAATGGTGGTAGGAAATCAATCAACCAAATTACCTCACAGATTGTTGTTAGTAGTAGAGAGAATAAAAATCATTTCACTCCAGCACTATGCATGGCACTTAGGGGTTAATAAATATTAGTCCCATTTCCTTTTCTTAATATATAGATTACTTGTAAGCAGTCTACCCAAATTTGAGACCCTCATAGAACCTATCATCTTATTCTACAAACAGTACCAAATACACAAAAGCAGAGAGAATGAATTAATGAAAGCATAATATTATAAGGATATATTCAGTGTAGCCATTTGTGATACATAAATTTCATTTATCTAATGCTGATTACATACTACTTTTTTTGGGGGGGAAGGAAGAGGATTCTAAATTAGGTTTGATTTTTAAAATTGAGTTCTACAAAAGCACCCTTAAATTTGACTGAATTCTAACACTTGAAGAGTAGACATCTACTTTGAAATCCATTGATCTAAATGAAAGAATATATAAAGGTTCTAAAAGAAATTTCTTAAAAACTATTTTTTCTTTTTCTCTGCAGTTGAGTATTTATATTTATCATTTAATAATTTTAAAATATAACATATAATTATGGTCTCTCACATCAAAGTTTCCATTTGCTCCAAGTATATGAGACCTCATTATTATGATCCACTTTTGTTTGCTATTTATTAAATTACCACTGATAAATGAATTCTTAAAATGTGTTACATCTGAAGATATATTCACTAGTCAGGGATTCTAAATTCATAACAACAGTACTACTCTTGATTAGCTGTGTACATAAGATATTCATTTGTAATTAAGTACAAATAATCCTAGTTCAGATCCATAAAAAATAAAATATGGGAAAGTAAAGATAAATTAGGTTAAGCTAAAATTTTTAGTAGCTTTGGAGCAGTAATTAATCAACATTTTTGTAGGTAAGTTTTTTTGTTAGAAATTTTGAATATGAGTGATGCCATGCCTATATTTCAGGTCAAACTAATTATGCAATTGAAAATCCAGTTAATATGTAAATAAACCTTGAAAACACCAGAAATGAATCTATTAAATTTTGCAAGAGTGCCATTTGAGTTCTATAAAGGGAACTTAAATCACAATGAGCTACATTTTACAGCTGTGAATCAAGGGTAGGGATACGACCAGCCAGTTACTAAAAATGTTTTTTCACATTTATAAATGGTGGGCGAACGCTCCCTCCACCTCCAAAACAATGAGACACTGAACATCATATGAAATTCAATTTTTAGTATCCGTAAATAAAGTTTTCTTGGAACACTGTCATATTCACTTAGTTACCATTGTCTGTGGCTGTACAGAGACCTATGCCTGTAAAGTCTAAAATATTAATATCTGGCCCTTTACAGAAAAGGTCAATTGATCCTGACACCTTCTACGATCAGATTTTAGCTCCTATTAAACATGAGCTGTAAGATCAGAAACATAAATACCCATTTTTCACATTGTTCTTCCCAGTACATGCTAAATCATGAAAAGGCCTGAATTTAGGAAGAGGCAAGTCATCAGGTGACAATTACAACTGTGGGAATTGACTGGACTTCCCCATCCTTTAAAAAAAATCTCTGAAAAGGCAAGAGGAAACGATTTCTATTTCTGAGAAGAGTTCAGTGATAAAAACTGCATGGGTTTGACAGTATGTTGTTTATCGTCACGATTTAAGAGGAGAAGACGAAGGAAACTGCGTTATTCACTTGCTGTCATGTAGAATGCATCATCTTGATATTTTGTGGCCAGATTTAGGGAAAGCATTATGTATAGGAGATGGGGAGGAGATGGCAGGGAAGGGAAAGCGTTTTACTGAAGGTTGTACTAATGCGGCAGCTGTCATTCTGGAAAGCAGAGCGGCTTAAAGTGACTCAAAACATTTGCCATCTTTTCCGCCAGAAAATGGACTTGCGGCGCAGCTTATATCTTCTGTTACAAATTGAAAAAGGGAGATATTTTACCCGGGTGGGGAGTGGGCAGGGAGATTGCTTGAGCGGTTTCCCCTCCTGACCAGAAAAGCCTACGCGAGCTTTCTCGGAGGACGCGAGGCCCCACACGAATGCCGCGGAGGCGGCTTTTACATTTTTATTTCTTGAGGAAGGCCGGCCCTACCTCAGCTACCCGGCTTGCCGTGGGGCCGCAGCAAGATCAGCCCTGGAAAGACAGGAACCCGCCCGGAGGAACCCCAGCCCTAGCCTAGCCTTCCGCCCGGCCCCTCCTCCAGGGCGCTTCCGCACTGCGGAGAACCAGCTGAAGGCGAAACCGCCATTTTAGGTCCTGGCAAAAATCTGGCCGCTCTAAAACCCACGCCAGGTCCACGCGGCCCACACCCTCTACGCTGGGCCTCGGCCACTCACCAGAACCCTCGCCGTACTCCGGCCCTGTCCGGTTGGAGTCACTGAACACGGTCCGGCTGAAGTTTCCCAGCCGCTGACGGACCGGGTTCGGAAGCTCCATATCCGGGCCTCGCACTCGCTCACTGTCGGGCCCGCTGCGCTCAGCGGTTCCCACGGCAACCGGGGACGTGCGCGCGCGCGCCGCGGCTGCACTGTAGAGGCCCAGGCGCTGACCGCGAGCCCGCTTGGAAGGGAGAGATGTGATATATCAATATATAACAAATATCCGTTTGTTTCTTTAGATATGCAACAATGAGGAACTGATGAAACACATTAGAGCACCTATATTTGATGGAATAGCAGCAGTTTTAAAGACATGCTTGCAAGAAATACTTGATATGGATTAACCTGAAGTAAACATATAAACAGAAATTAAATAGTAATGAACCTAATTTAGCAAAGTCTGTGTGTGTGCGTGTGTGTGTGTGTGTGTGGAGCAGGGAGAGGAACACAAACATTGTGGCTTCAAAAAAGGACTAGAAGGTAATCTAAAATGTTCTGGATGATGGCTTTTGGGTGACTTAAATTTTTAAAATTATGTCTGTTTTTTCAGCTTTCAAACAAGTTGTATGTTTAATAAAAAAACTAAATGCAATATACATATAGAAAAGGGCAGAAACATATATTTGTGGCCAGCTCTCAGATAAACAGACCTTTATCAGTCAGCACTTCCACAAGCTTGCCTTTCTGTCCTCCTATGCTCGTTAACTTCCTACTACTAACTGACCTTTCCTAACTTCTAGTAGCACAAAATAGTTTTGCCTATTTTTATGCCTTGTATAAAAGTATCAAACACGATAAATATTTTAAAAATCTAGCTCTTTGCTGTCAACATTATTTTATAAAATTCTTTTATATTGTTGAGTGTAGATTCTTTTCCTTTGTTGTGTATAACCACACCATAATAAGTTTATAAGTTCTTCTATTGATGAGCATCTGTGTGTTTTCTATTTTGGAGCTGTTATGAATAGTGCCACTTTTGGTGAAAATACGGTTGGTGAATGTTTGCATGTATTTATGTTGTTTTGAGTAAAATCCTGGGAGTGGAGTTGCTAGTTTGTAAGGTACCATCCAGGTTTAATAGATGCCAACAGTTTTTCCAAAGTGGTTGTACCAATTTCTGCTACCTCCAGCAATGTATAAACATTCCTGTTGCTCCAGATCCATCACCAAAACTTAACTATTTTTCATCCTTTCCTTTTAACCATTATGATGTTGTAAGGGAATCGTATTATTTTTACAATCAAATGGAAAACCACACATTTATACAAATATCAAGAGGAAAGTATGAGAGAATATGCATTTGAGGCTAGAATTCAAAATAATTTAACATGTATATTGCATTCCTACTAGCTTTTGGGAAGAGTTATAGTAGATTATTAGGGGTATAATCCCTTCCTATCAAGAATCTCAGCCCACTGAGGAGTGAGAGGTGTAGAAACAGTAAATATAATATGCTTTAGTATAGGAACACATATGAAGAAGCAATTAATTCTGGTTGGGGAAAGCCTGGAGCTTAAACCTTAGCATCTCTAAAATGGCTTCCAGAACCTTCCTGAAGTTGGATTAAGTGCCTTCCTCTGTTTCTCAAAGTATTTTCCTCTTTGTTACTTTGGTCTGGTGTACTGTACATGACCAGTACTGGTCATGGTGTACTGTAATTGTTTATTTGTGCCTGTTTCTCTTGCTAGTTTATAAACTCACGGATAAGCTTTCCTATTTATCTCCTGGACACCAACATGATGCTTGGCTTAGAGTAGGAACTGGGTAACTATTGAATGAATGAAGGGGAAAATGGTCTAAAGACAACTCCTGTGACTTCCTATTTCTAGTTCGAGGATTTATTCAATTCTGACATCAGATTCATTCTATATCATGGAGAATTGCTATATTAAAATGATGAATCATGAATAATTTTTTTAAATATAGCAACAAAGAATAGCTTTCATATATTAAATTAGCCACAGTTTTTACAAAAACACAGTGAAGCAAGAAGCTTCATACTCTGCAGGTTAAATTATGATTTGAGCAATGTCTTGGAGAAAAACAATCAGCAATCTGTACAAATTGCTTTTAAAAATGGTCTGACCACTAATGAAATAATCCAAAATGTTAGCCTCTGTTTTGGGAAATAATTATAAAAACAAGTAATATGTTATACATCTAGATATTGCTGTCAAAATTATTGATTCTTGTTTTTAAAAAAATGATGGGAACATCTGAAGTGCCCAACCACAGGGTTCACTTGAGCAGATTATACAGTATTGGACAGTGTTGGACAGTGTTGGACTATGGTAGAAAGAATGTCCTTGGAAACAGAGAGAATTGGGTTCAGAGCCCCTAAAATTCTCATTTTACCACTCCTGAGTTATTCCATTGATTTTAGACTTTGTTCTGTAAAGTGAAAATACGAATAACTTACTGTTGATATAATTATATCATAAAATAAGGCTTTCTATATGTAATAGCTATCATTTATCTGTTAAAATGTTTGTGAAGAAGAAATACCTACAGTGGAATGAAATTATACCAACATTAAATTTTTAAATTCAGCCGCAATGGCTAGGCCATACTTAGAGGCTTTTTTAGTAAACACAGTAGGTGCATTTAACCATGAAGTACTCCATATGTGTAGCCAAATTTATCAAAAACCCAAGTGAATTAAAGATCATCCCTAGCATTGAAAAAATATGTAAAGCACCTTGTTCAGACTGTAATTTCAACAATATCCTGGAAGAAAGAATCGATGACATTATGGATATTTTCCCTTTAGTTTTATTACTCAGCTTTGCTATGATTAGCATGCATTTTATCATATGAAAAGATATTATTAAAAATAAATTGAGATGGAAAGGCAATAATAGTGCAAAAAATATTGTGGAAGAGTTTTGAGAGGAAAAATTCTGATTTGGAACGAACTCTGCCATTATTGATGTCACAAATTATTCAGTGTTAAAAAACTCCAGATATTTTGTTAGTTGATGCTCAGAGTTGTGAGTGATGCTCACAATAACATTCGTGAAGTACTAAAGAACAGAGAAGAGAATCCATTTTCATGGGACAGGAGGCTAGTATAATTTGGGTTTCCTTGGTCTAGTCCTAGACTTATTACTCAGATTCTAAGGAAAGAATACAGAATTTCTTTTAAAATTATGAGACTCATTCCCAGCAAGATTAATCAATAACCTTATAAAGTTAAACTGTTTACTTCTTATAATAACATTGATGGCCAAAGCTAATTCTCAAATAGTTGTTTAATGTTTTTCATTGGGGTTTAATTATATCAGTGGTTTGCTTTACTAAATATTTTCATAAAAACTCAGAGACTAATGAAATGGTTTGTTTGAATGATGTATTATTCTGTGTGGCAAGTAGTTGATTTGGGAGTTATTTAAAATTATTCCATGGTATAATAAAAATAGAAATTCTTTCTACTTGATACTAATAAGGACTTATGAAATAATGTTTTTAAGTGAATTGTTACTCAATTTATTGCCTTAAAATGAACTGTGAGATATTTCTAAGAATTTAGATAAATTTAAAAGATAGCACATAATCGGGTATAATATTTTTGGATATGATTCCACATCAGCATCCACATTTTAAAAATATTACTCTGAATTACCTGAAATGTAATCTTACACTCCTCAAGCATGTTAATGGATAATCCAAACCATTTTAAGCCACTAGTACAATATATTCTATTCACAGCACTTTTCAACGGTTTGTAAGAATCAGATTATGTATTACATAGAAAGTCAGATCTCATAAAAGGAAATTTTCATACTGTATTAAGTGATATTTCAAGGCTAACTTCAATATTTTGTTTTCAAAGACATCCCTATTGAACATTTTTATTAGAATAGTTCTTACTTTAAAAATGCTGTTTATATTATAGGTTTTTTTTTTTTTTTTTTTTTTTTTTGGTTCTGTGGCATTTCTTTGTGTTAGCCTACCACGCTGCTCAACTACTATAGCAGGCAGCTGGTCCATGTGTGAAACTACGTGGGAGATGGGAATGACAAGCTCAGGAAGAATCAGTAAAGCAAAACCTTCTTTAGGAAACTTCAGATCTGTCAAGTGAACTGTGATACTAATTAGAAGCAAGTGGCCATTTTATTGAATTAGTTGTGATATTATTAATAATAATGTTTTTATATGACTGTATAAAATGGAAATTATGCCTGATGTTTCCCTTTCTGGATAGAAATTACTCTTTACCATTTATTGACTATAATACAATATTGTGCCTTCCCCTCATTACATATTAATGCATCATACCCTCTTGCTTGTTTTAAATTGTGGCGCAATGCCTTTAGCAAATTTATGTAGATAAGTAACAGATCTCCAAATTTTCTTGAAGGTAAGTTTTCTTTGCAAAATAGAAAATTATTGTAATTATTCCTGTATACCTTTCCCTTTGTCACTGTATTTTTGGTTAATACAGAATTGTTCTTTTTTTCTTCTTCCAATATATGCTGTGAAGATTAACCCAAGTTCCAGGTGGTTGGAAACAAGTATAACAGGATGTCAACAGGGATGTTCACTGGGCCCTGGATAAGGTCCAAAGCTGCTCACAGAAGGTGGTAAGCACACATATTCTAAGTTCACGGACCACCTATGGTTAGGCCAGTCTACTAAGAAATGTCAACACAGGAAAACAGGCTGACCACCAAAAATTCCCTAAATCATCCCTGAATGAATACTCCCTGGAGTATGAGCAAGGGTGGGTAGATCGGAAGTTAGCCTTTTGTGAAGTGACAACACCTTGCCTTCACCCTGTGTTCACTGTTAGGGAGGAGATGGAGACTCTTCTTCCTCTTCGAGTCTTCCCCTTAAAGTTCCCTCAAGAGAACTGCATATAAAGTTGCAGATGCCAAATCATCCCTCTCTGCTAGACTGGAGACTGATGACTGTCTCATCTCTGACCTCTCTGGGGCTAGCAAAGTGCTTGGTATTCTAGGACAAGGATGGGGATGGCAGAGAGACGGCCTAGGTAAGAGAAACCCACATTGCCATATCTAAGAGAGGCAGCTTGCTGGACACCAGTGGAAGAAGTCAAGTAGGCAAAAGACATACCTTATAGGAACTAGGCAGCAAGGA